AAAAAAAAAAAAAAAACGTACGTCTATTAACAATAATAATTATATTTATATATATATACATACATACGTTTAAGCGGATAAATAATATATTTATGCATTCGATATGGAAAAAAAAAAATATTACATTATTGTTCGCCGAGATGTTCATTAAAAATGTGTGTGCACAATACGTATATAATAATATATAATGTGAAAAATTAACGGGTTTTGTTTTGTTCTGTTATTGTGATTGTTTCGCCCCGTAGCCCGAAAATGTGTGTTGAAGCCGGACGAGCGTGATGGAAGGTCGGAAAGGTAAGCCGGCGGGCCCGCGGAAACCGACGACAAAACCGAAACCGACGTATCGCGTCGTCGTTTCTTTGTCGGTTTTCTATAGGGAAAAAAAAAAAAAAATAAAAAAAAACCTATCGGAAATCTATAAACGTTATTTTCCATCCGGAATACCGCCGGTCGGAAACGCGACTCTATCGAAGTGCCCCGGCTGGAAATGGGTTTTCCGAGTGTCGATAGAAAAATAACACATCTAAACGATTAACAATAGCGTACAATAGCGTTTTCGTTCCACTCAGAATCTATAAAAAAAAAAAAAAAAACAAACAAACAAACCTATTATTGCGGTTACTCGCAGTAGCAAATTAACGAATATAGAAACGAGTGTGAAACGGATATTTTCGGATGTTATTTGAGTCGAATCCTTGGCGCAGCTACAATAACGAGTCGTATAATATAAGACACACCGGGGTCACATGCGTACACATACGCAAATAGTCCGGCGGCGTAACTGCAGGACGTATCTTTAGGGATCGATACATGAATATCCGTTAAAAAGAAAAAAANACATACGCAAATAGTCCGGCGGCGTAACTGCAGGACATATCTTTAGGGATCGATACATGAATATCCGTTAAAAAGAAAAAAACCTACGACTAATATACATATTTTTTCGCGTACCACCCTCCCCCCCACACCATAGCCACGCTTTATCTGAAACCGTCGTGTGTTTTCGCCGACCGGATTGTGCGTATAGGTTAAACACACGGGGCACGCCGTAACGTCCTCGGAGTCCGTCCGGGTTCGGACCGACAGAGAAAAACACGCCGAGTATGTCCCCGGACGCGCCGATAATATCATCGCCGCGCCACCGAAATCGATACTCCACGGACTCCACGACAATAGTCCGTACCGGTAAGTGACGATCGGACGGTTCCGTTTTACGTCTGCGGCCCGTCTCGGGTAGGAGTCCGTTAAACGCTGCACACGCGGCGTGGCGGATTCAGAAACGGTCGTCGAATTGCCGCAGCTATAAATACGGTATTGTAACGACGACGACTTTAGTAAAAGAAGAAGAAGAAAAAAAAAGCAGCGATACGATCGCGAACGCTGCGTATAGTCACGGTAATAATAATTACATTTATTTTTTTTTGTTTTATTATTACCATTATTATTCCGTTATCCGAAACAATAACGGCGATAATGTTATAACGATAATATCCGGAGGCTCGAAACGCACTGCACACGGGGTACGCGTCTATAGATATTTATATTATCGTTATTATATTAATGTTTCGGTGGGTTATTTTATTATTATTATTATTATTTTTTTTTTTTTTTTTAAATTTTATTATTACCTTTTATCCGATTATAATAATATTGCCGTGTCGGTCGACGGCGAACCGTCGTCCGCGGCATAAGGCAGGCAGCGAGACACCAGAGATCTATCGGGGCTCAGTAATTCGTTGTTTATAATTTCTTCTTTTTTTTTTTTTTAATAATAATAAAAAAAAACAGACGGGACCCCACCGACGACGTGGTTTTCTATCGGGTCAAAAATAAAAAAAAAAACCCACACCTATCCGGGTAAAGAGAAACGGAAAACAAACCGTGTTCACTGTTTCCCTCCCCCACCTCAATCGGACGCACTAATCGTACACGAGTGTTAGATATATTACAGAGGTATTATAGACAAATGCATCGTGACAGCAGCCATAATACCTTTTGCTTCTTTCGGTACGGTCCGTCTCTGTTAAGGTATGTATTTTATGATTTTTTTTTTGTCGTCTAAAAGCTTCACCTTGCCGTGTCGACCAATGTGCTCTTCGTTCAATCAACGCCACAACGATCACTGCACTGACTCGTGTACCTGACATGAAGTCAATATCGCGACGTCCGTACTGCGATTGTGACGCCGTCGAGTCTCTAAACGTAGTCGTCGTTGCTCAGGCGTCTTTTTTTTAAAAAAAAAACACTCCAGATATCGTTGATGCTCAAACCCGCTGTCGAGCTCCTCGGTCTTTCAGTCGTCCTATTATTCTTTTGCCCAAAGACATATTACGATTTTATATTTTTGGCGACCTAAGATACTGTTTCTTAGCGCCCTTTCATATGATGAAAATACATTATTGTTTTTTTTTTCTTTTTTTTTTTTTACAACGAACTAAAATTTCGAGCTGAGCACTTTACACTTTGTAAGTAGCGCGCACTCGTTTGGTCTCACTGTTTCGGGGCCCGGTTGAGAGAGTGTAAACTGTGGGATTTGTTTATTATTTAAAAAAAAAAAAAAATAAAGACGACGACATACTTCGCACAATGGGTGGACCACTGTTTCGGATTAGAAGTTGGGAAGGTAGAAAGGAAATTGAATATATGTATGTACGCAAAGATGTTCCTAAAAAAAAAAAAATGATTCTGAGCGGTTAATAATGTTGCTTTGTCCATAATATATAATATAATATGTCACATTGTAATAAAAAAATTATACATAATATACATTGTAATAAAAAAATTATACATAATATGCATTATATATTTTTTTTAATGATATTTGTGTATATATTTTTTTTAATGATATTTGTGTACAATATAAAAAAATTATACATAATATGCATTATATATTTTTTTTAATGATATTTGTGTACAATTGTATTGTGTACAAT